AAAACGACAGCAACTTGTCTGTTCCCCTTCCCCCAATTCCCCAGCACTGTTCCCATCCCCCCAATTCCCCAATAAAAAATTAAAAAAAAAAATCTTTAAAAAAAAAACCAAAACAAATACAAGGTAGAGGGCCGGCTGAGTGGCTCAATTGGTTAAGAGCTCGCTCAAGAGTTTGAGCTCTGAGCAACAACAGTTCGATGCCCGGCCCAAGCTGAGCTGTTGCTGAGCTGCCAACAGGTGGCAGGATGGCTCATCAAAAAAAAAACACACACAAAAAAAACAAGGTATAAAAACTCCAGCTGTGTCTATTGTGCAAAGCAAGACTCAACTGAATTCTTTTGAGGTTTAATTGTTGCTTTTCAAATTTTAAACATTTTATTAAGGGTATATCTTTTTAGTGAAAACAGGCTCTAACAACAAATATATATATATAATATATATATTATATATAATATATAATATATCATATATATTTCATATATATTATAGATATATGATAATGTAGGGCCCACAGAGGAATGGTTTTGGTACTTTTTTTTTTTAAGATATTTATTGGGGAACAGTGTGTTTTTTCAGGACCCATCAGCTCCAAGTCAAGTAGTCATTTTCAATCTGGCTATGGAGGGCGCAGCTCAGTGGCCCATGTGGGGATCGAACTGGCAACCTTGTTGTATGAGCACTACATTCTAACCAACTGAGCTAACCGGCCACCCCCTGATATATTTTTTTTTATTTAGAAAAGTACTAACATTTTTGAAAGTTAGAATACTGTATAGGGCAAATATACCCTAAATCTCATTACCCAAATATAAGTACTCTTCATTTTTGTTAATTTTCCTCTAGTCATTTCATATACCTGTTGTTTTTGTGTTTTTTTAGTACGGTTTGACTCCAAACTTTTGACACAGTAGTCCTTAAACTTGAGAACATCCAGGAAGGCTTGTTAAAATGATAATTCCTAGGCCCCAGTGACTCAGTAGGTCTAGGGCTTGGGTAGGAATATGTCTTTTTAAATAAGCCACCTCCTATTCCAAATGATTCTGATGTTTTTCACTTACTATATTAGTTTACTATCACTATGTAACAAATTACTACAAACTTAAAAGCTTAAATGAACACAAATTTATTATCTTAACAGTTTCCAGGAGTCAGGAGTTGGGCGAGTTTTAGCCTAGTCCTCTCTGCTCAGTGTTTACAAGGCTGAAATCAAGGTGTCAGCCAACTTGCATATTCATCTGGAGGCTTGACTAGGGAAAGATCTACTTCCAGGTTCTCTCATTTATTGTTGGAAGAATTCATTTCCTTGTGGCACTATGACAGAGGTCCCCATTTTCTTGCTAGCTGTTGGCCCAGGACCAGTCTCAGGTCATAGAGGTTGCTTGTAGGTTCTTACTATGTGGCCCTCTCTACAACATGGTAGGCATTTTGTTTCTTCAGAGCCAGTATAACATCTCCTACTTCATTTTCTTTTAAAGAGCTCACCTGATTGGATCATAGTAATGACGACAATCTCCCTTTTGATTAATTCAGAATCCATCAGTTAGTAACCTAATCATGGAAGTGACATCCCATCATATTCAGAGGTTCTGGCCTCACTCAAGGGGAAAGGATTATACAAGATGTGTAAGGGGGTGGGAATCTTGGGGACTATCATAAAATTCCACCTACCACATTTACCATGGATTATTTCCTTAGGATGGGTTCTCACAAATAGAATTAGAAGGGTTGAGCACCTTATGCTTGGCAATACATTGCCACATTTCTAAAGTGGCGCACCCATTTACCAGTAACATATGTGAGTGGAATCTTATCAATATATTTGCTCAATTTCTTGGTAATATAGGTTTGCTACCTATTTTTAGAGGTGGACACCTCTGTCAACCTAGCAAGAGTATTGAAGTTAAGAATTATCTTATGGGCCTTTTGAGCTTCCTCCTTGCTTGGCCAGCTCCAAACTCTTTGGAGTGTACTTTCTCTTCTAATAATGGAAATAATAATGGAAATAATGGGAAAAAAATAAAAAATATTTCCTTGAGCCCTTCTCTACTGCTTGGACCCACTTCTGCTTCTTTGAAATGTATTTTTTCATCTAATAAACTGTCCTTTTCTGCAACTTTACCTCTTTGGTCCGTGTCTCCATTTTTCAGTTCCACGAGACCACAATCCCGGGGATACACACAAAAACACACATCAAAAAATCCTGTTTCAATAGTATTATACTCTATTACAATTAGCTGTAACTGCACCTTTTCTTAAGAATGATCTCATCTCTTCCTTTGTTTCCTGCACTTCCTCCTTCTTTTCCTCCCCCTCTCTCTCCACAGCCCTGTTCTTTCTGCCTATGGTAACATTTTTAAGTCTTTCATGTAGTTTATCCATTTCAACTGAGTTGTCAAATATATTGTAGAATTGTTCATATTATTCCCTTTTTATCTTTTTTAATTTGAATAAACTCTATAGTGATGTCTCCATTTTCATTTCTGATATTGGTAAATTATCAGTTGTCTCTTTTTTTCCTTGGTCATGACTAGAAGTTTATTGATTTTATTGATCTTTTCAAAGAACCAGCTCTTGGTTTCATTGATCTTCTCTTTTTTGTTTCTTTTTTTCTTTTTGTTTATTTCACTGATTTCTGCTCTTATCTTTATTATTTCCTTCCTTTTGCTAGCTTTGGGTTGTCTGCTTTTCTTTTTCATTTTCTAAAGGCAAAGCTTAGATTTTGATTTGAGAGCTTTTACCTTTTTTTTAAAAGATTTTATTGGGTAATTGGGGGCGGGGACTAGCATGGGGAATTGGAGGAAGGGGAACAGACAAGTTGCTGTCCTTTTGTTCTTCAGTCTAGTTGTGGAGGACGTTGCTTCACTGGCCCAAGTTGGCACCATCATTGCGCTCTTCCTGGGCGAGGCAGATCAGTCGCCAGCTTCTGGCCGCTCACACTGGCTGTTGGCCACACGGTAGCCCATGGTAGCCCATAGCAACCCACTGCCACAGGGGCTGCAACCTACGCTGTCGCTGGTAACTCTCACGGCAGCCCAGCTCCAGGTTGAGCTGTTGTTCAGCATCTTAGCTGTGGAGGGCAGTGTTACTGGCCCTCATATGTGGGATCCGAACCGGGGTCCTCTGGCATCCTAAGCCAGTTCTTAACCATCGTACTACTCAGCAGGCCCGCTTTTACCTTTTTTAATGCAAGCATTTAATGCTACAACTTCCCTTCAGGCAGTGGTAACCTTGAGCCAGCTTGCAAAAAAAAAAAAAAAAAAGAATTGTGGATTTGCTATTCCACCTGGAGAGGCTGATGGGTGGCATTAGTCTCCCACTGAGGCCTCCTTTGTAAAGCAGTTCTGTGATTTGCCCTCATCAGAGAATATGTATAAAGGTTTTCTTAGAACATCCTCAGTGAAGACTGTACTTACAGGTTAGGTAGAGGAATAGTATTGAAAGGTGGTATATTCTGTCTCGCTATTTCCTGTCTTTTTTTGCCCTGTGAATGAAGCATTCATACTTAGGTTTAACAGTCAGAGCCATATTCTTTCCAAAGATTCCACTTTTTTAATTCCTTATAATACTTATACTTTTTTTCATTCCAGGAATATTTTATTTCTCCATCAGTAGATATACAAGAACAAGTTTATCGTGTTCAAAAACTCCACCATATTCTAGAAATATTAGTCAGTTGCAAGCTTTTCATTAAACCTCAACATGAGCTCCTCTTTTCTTTAACACAGTAAGTATTTCTCTGTTGTTTACCTATGTAAAAATGTATTTTCTTCTGAAATAGTTGCAGCCAAAATATGTGCCTTTTTTATTATCAGTTAGGATAGAACCTATGCACCCTGTTTTTACAGTATCACAATGGCTCTTAAGTCACTCTCATAGGAAGGAAAGGCTTTGGATCCAGAAGAAATCAGGTTTGACACTTGGCTGTAGCACTTCCAAATGTCCAGAGGAAGTTTCCTTGCACTGTGTCTTGTTTTCTCATCTATAACAGGGATCTAATAACCTCATGTTTGTTGTCAGGATTAAATGATGTAAAGCATATAAAGTACCTGTCACTTAACAGGTGCTTAATAAATATTAGTTCTGTCCTTTTTCTTTACATCCTTATATATTTGGGCCAAACTGATTGCGAGCCATCAGTACGAGTATGATAACTGAGTTGAATTAAATATAACTGGACCTCTCTGTCAATAGTATTGCTGTAATTTTAGAGATTTCTGCCAGTCAGTTTGGAATAACCCTGATACATGGGTTGCTTGTGTCTTATGTGTATTGGAGGCCTTAAACTGGAAATAGGTGAACCTATTTCCAGTGGAAGGAATGGGTTTCTTTTTCCCTGTGAAAGTAAATGTACCACTGCCTTTTCCAAAACTAGACTTTGCCTCAGTCATAAAGGGAAAAATTTGACATTGTTATTGGTTTTTTTATTTTCCCATTAAAGGTAAGTAGTATAATAAATAAGTTAACTGTTTAATTCCCCAGATTCTGAATACCATGACGACTGTATCTTTCTCTTTTGCCTCTTTGTTTTTCTCTTTCTGATAGGTCTCTCTCCATACTTAAACCTTTATTTGGGCTCAACTTAAATATATTTTATATTTATAAGAAATATGTATATTAATTTTTAAAAAGCAAATGACATTTCCTTTTAAAGAAAAAAAACATAGCCTATGTTTTTTTGGGAGTTGAAGGTATTGTGTGTTTGTTTTTTACTTTTGTGTCCCTGAAATTATTCTGTTTTTAATGTTGTGGTTAGTGGTATTCAATAAAATGTCTTCCTTATGAGCTTTAGACTACCAGAAAGCCTTTAGTGGCATTTTTTCCCCCAAAGAGGTTCATTTTTTAATTTTTTTAGATCCTGTATAAAATATTATAAACAAAATCCTCTTGATGAGCAACACATTTTTCAGCTGCCTGTCAGACCAACTGCTGTAAAAAACTTATATCAAAGGTAAGCAATTTAATAATTAAATTGTACTTTAATGGTTCTAGGCAGTTCCGGTGTCTGTACCATGGGGACCTTGTGACCCAGAGCTGCTTCACCTTTGGAACCTTAATCGTCTTACCCCTTCTCTGGCCACAGTCTGATGGAGTTCTCCAACTCTGCCTTCTCCCAGACCTTTTGTCTTGTCTACTCTTTTGACCGTTGGGCCTTCTAGACGTTCATTTTTCTCTAAATTTGTAAATTTTTTGCTGGACACGGTAGAAAGTATAGCCAGAAGGGAAATGACAGATTGGGAAAAACGTGATCAGGGTAATGACAAAGTCAGGGGTATGGCAGTGACAGTGAGAGAAGAGTTTGGGATTGGGGATGTAGAGAACTGTGAGGCTAAGATGACAGATTGGCCGTCCAAGTGGACCCTGAATTTTCCTCAAATGATGGTCTCCCCTCAGTATATATAATATACTTGAACTTTGTCTTATACTAAAGTCACTCTATTTCTACCCTCCCTTTATTTATTTCCTTCTTTATCCAAACCTCAACAGTTCCCATGAAACTGCTCTGGCAAAGATCACCAGTGGCTTTCTAATTACCAAATCCAATGGACACTTTCCAGTAAAACAGTGTTTTCCAGTCCTGGTGTCATTAGCTGGCCTACCAGTTCTTTCTCTTTTAGTAAGCACTTATAAGGCATTTGGCATTTAATACAATTGCTTTCTTAAACCTATCTCCTTCCTTCGTTTCTGTGACATAGCATTCTCTCTTAATTTTAGTTCTACCTCTCCAGCCCACCTCCAAGACAGAATAGTTCTCTATCAAATTCTTCTTCTGTCTGCTTCTTATATGTGCGTTTTCACCAGAACTCTATCCTCTGCCCTCTTTTCTTCTTAGTTTCTGTCTTCCCTGGGCGATTGCATTCATACTCAAGGCTTCAGTTCCTCTGGGCTAATGAATTCATAACCCATATTTCTAGCTTCTCCTGAGCTTCAGACCCATGTTTCTAAATGCCTATTAGATGTGAATCCCCAACTTCAGTGTCCTGTACATAGTCCATACTCTAAAATCCGAATTTAGAATTGTTACCCGTTCATGTCTTCTTCCTTAGTGCTTATCACATGAGAACTTCACTAGATGACTATAGAAGGAAGAAAGGAAGGAAATAACCAGGTTTCTTTTTCCCTTTGATTTTTTTTTTTTCTTAGTGAGAAGCCACAGAAATGGAGAGTGGAAATAAATAGTGGTCAAAAAAAGGTGAAAACAGTTTGGCAACTGAGTGACAGTTCCCCTGTAGACCATCTGAATTGCCACAAACCTGGTAAATATGGTTTGTAATCTTTTTAGATAAATTGAAAATGAAAATAAAATTTTACTGGTAGAGACTATTATTTTAGCTCTTGTGCTCAATTTTAATTAATTTTCCTGAACTCTAGGTGTAAAACATATTTATTCTGAAAAAAAATCACAAAGGGGTGCTTTTTTTCATTATCCTAAATAGAGGAACTTTTATTAAAAGAAATCAAGCAATAGGGACATAGGAGTAAAAATAGGTTGAGAAGATTAAAATGCCATACTTCACACTTTTGTGCCCTGTTTAAAATAGTGATGATATTTCTGCCGTAATGACTTTTCTGTGTCTGGAGTAATGGTGAGATTTCTAATATTCTATCAAAGATGGTTCACGTTAGTCAAAGAATGTCTTTTAGCCCCAGGTGTAATTAGCTGGCCCACCAAGTCTTCCTCCATCAGTAAGCACCTATAAAACTGCTTTCTTCACACAAGTGGATTGTATGGTGCTGTTGTCTTTTATTTGTATAGGTCTTAAATGTCTGCATTCAAGTATTGCAAGGATTATCCAAAATCAAATCTGATGGTTTTAAGACAGAATCCCAGAAGATTTCAAAAGCCTATAGTTAACTACTGCTGGGAATACAAATAGTCCTATTTAAGTGATTGATACCTTGAAAATTATTTCCAGAAAATGTTTATCCTTCTCCCCAAAATATATTTTGATTCAGGAATAATGAAACCTCTCAACTAGCATTGGGATGTCTCTAGCATATGGCTAAACTGTATAAGTTCTAAAGAAACTGAAAGAATTTTCCTGAGAATCATCAGTTAAAATCATGCTGTCTTTTCTAAGTGATATAATACATGGAAGCTATAAAAGATTGAAAATCAACTATATAAAAATAGAAGCATTCCTGCATAGCAAAAAATACAAGAGGCCAAACAACAGACAAATGATAAATTAGGAAAAGAAATTTGCAGCTCAAGTTCAAAAAGGAGCTATATTCCCTAGTAAAGACATTTCAAATCAGTAAGAAAAATATTAATAACTCAATAGAGAAATGGTCAAGTAAAATGAACAGTTTACCAAAAAGGAAATTCAAGTGTCATCTCGAAAATAAAAGATGCTCACTTCCACCTATATGAAGAGAAATACAAATTTATGTGTTTTGTTATATATCATGTTCCACCTGTCAGTTTAGCAAAGATCAAAAAGTTGGATGTCACAGTGTTGCCAAGGACATGGGGGAACAGGCAGTCAACCTCACACATTGCTGGATGGAGTGTAAAGTTGTATAGCTCCCGTGGAAGGCAACATCCACCAAAATTTTACAAGAATACATTTTTTGGCCCAGCAGTTTAATTAATAGGAATTTATTCCACACACATAACCAGACGTGCAAAAAGACCTACAAACAAGGTTATTAACTGTAGTATTTTTACAATAGCAAAATACTGGGAAAAAAACATGGAGAATGGGGCATAGAAAAAGGTCTGGAAGGATACAACCAAATTCCTGAGGTGTGCAATGGTGAGGACAGAGGTGGTTCTCAGCTTTGGCTGAACATTAGAATCATCCGGGGAGTTTTTAAAGTTCTAATACCCAGACGAAGTAAATCAGAATCTCTGGAAATAGAGCCTGGACATCAATAATATTTAAGTTCTCCAGGTGATTGCATTGTGCAACTAAGGTTGAGAAACCACCAGCTTAAATATTTTATTTTATCTCCTTATGTTATTTCAGGTGCTTTTTTTTAATACATGTATTACTTTTATTAAAAAGAAAGTTTTAAGGACATGAACATATGTGATACATTTTTGGAAAATGCCTTTTTAAAATTTTATTACAGAAAGATTAAATCTCTGTTATGAGGAAATTCGTGCAAGATTAAACACCTTTTCCCAATGATGCTAAATAAGTGAAGTATACTGAACATATCTTTCAGAGTCTTTTGGATGCAGTTCCTTTCCAAAAGAGTGAAAGTGATTTTGAATTTTAGAGTTTAAACAATTTGATGGTACATTGGTCCAATGACTCTCTTTATGAAAATAAATCATTTTTATGAAATTGTATATTTGTGTGCTTAGAAACGCTGAAACTCCATTTTATTTTTATTTTATTTTATTATTTTTTAAAAGATTTTTATTGGGGAATTGGGGGATGGGAACAGCGCTGGGGAATTGGGGGAAGGGAAACAGACAAGCTGCTGTCCTTTTGTTCTTCAGTCTAGTTGTGGAGGACGTCGCTTCACTGGCCCAAGTTGGCACCATCATTGCGCTCTTCCCTGGGCGACAGATCAGTCGCCTGCTTCTGGACAGCCACTCACTGTGGCTTCTGGCTACACACGGTAGCCCATGGCAACCCACTGCCACAGGGGCTGCAGCCTACGCCGTCACTGGCGACTCATGGCAGCCTAGCTCCAGGTTGAGCTGTTGTTCAGCATCTTAGCTGTAGAGGGCAGTGTCACTGGCCCTCAGACGTGGGATCTGAACCGGGGCCCTCTGGCGTCCCAAGCAGGGTCTTTACCAATGCGCCACTCGTCCAGCCCTGAAACTCCATTTTAGCTTGAACCTTATAACCTCTTCTACCCATCATACATTCTTTGTGTATTTGTCTAGAAATTTTATTCAGAGACCTTTGGCCCAAAGCAAGACCAGCTGTTAAAGGAGGACTTCATTTGTATTCAAACACAACCCTGGTTGTAAACATTAAAGCCCTATAATGATTTATTTTTTTGCCAAAGATCATCTGCATTTAAGAAGTTAGATTTTCTATTTCACTGGACTGAGCACTTGTTGTTGAATACTAGTTTTTCAAGATATCTAATGGTATGATACTCTTGAGTAAAACAGTTGACATTAAAAGCAGGAAGACTTAAGAAAGAAAAGTGTACCTTTATCTGTCATGGGAAGAGAGAATAATGATTGGGAGTTAATGGGGGAGGAAAACAGTGTCCAGTAAAGTGCTCTTTACCCAGTGGGTGCTCAGCAAATGCATGCTGATGTTGGTGAGAATATGGAAACCAAAATGCTGAACCACAAAGAAGTGGATGCAATTTCATCTAAATGTTAATTGTACCATTTATATAATACAACAGTCATCAGGAGAAAAAAAGACGGATATGTGTCTAGCCCTTAAGACTACAAATGCCAGGTAGAAAATGTTTTCTGAACTATATGTTAAGATTAGAAAAAAGACCATTGTTTAGCCATAGTGGATGAGGCAGAAAAAAATAAAGCAGTAGGTTCCCAAATTTAAAATATATAATTTTTTAAAAATCTACTTTATATTTTAATTTTTTAGTCATATTTTCAATGTATCAAGAAGGTTAACTTAAATATTTAAAGGAATTGTCCTTTCTGATTTTTGTCTAACAAATTCTCTTAAAGTAGAATACTTACTACCTATGTTATTTAGACTACCTCTCAATTATTATAAAATTCAGCAGTATACATGGTAGAAAAGCCAGCAGGGTGGTAAGCAATTCTGATCTCACTATCTTTCTGATTACAGATTTTTCTGATTTAACATTAAACAGTAGCCTGGAAGAAAGGATACCCTATACTAACATGGTTACCTGTAGCCAGGTGCATTTCAAGTGAAGTGTGCTGATGGGGATCCTCTGTCAGGTAGTGTGTTCACATTTTGTTCTTTTCAAATACTTCGTAATGTGTTAAGTACCTTAAGTTTTAGTTCTTTCTACAACAGAAATTCTGACTTAAAACATTAGGAGTATGGATTACTTATCAGTAATCACATAAAAGGCTTACCAGCTGTTACTGAGCCGTGCAAGTCTTTAATTTCCTTTCTACCTTCTGTAGTCAACTTAATAGGTCAGTTTAATCCTAAAACCAGAGAAACAAAAACATTTTTTTGTTGTGTGGTAGTATCTTTGTACTTTAAATCTGGGTATAGAGTAGAAAAAGAGTTGAATTTCAAAAACATTGATGGAGGGGGAAAACCCTGAACAGGCATATCAGTTTGACATTTAAAGCAAAGGTTTGTTAAAAGCAGTTTTACCCCAGCTCCACTGTAGGACTAAGCCCCCCTGATATAAATACCATTTTAAAAATATTTAATTTGAGATAGTAGTAACCAAAAGGATTAATGAGGTAGTATTTTCTACTGTGTTACTGTTTTTGTGTTTCAGAGACAACATTAGATAGAATCAGAGAAGTAAAATGCCTGATACTATTCTTTCTTTTTTTTAATTAAATTTTATTGGGATGACAATGGTTAGTAACGTTATATAGGTTTCAGGTGTACAATTCTGTAATATATCATCTACATGTATATATTACATTGTGTGTTCAGCACCCAGAGTTAGTTCTCCTTCCATCACCATATTCTTTCTTAAGCCGTGTTTTGTTCCCAAATAAATGGAGATTAGTTAATTTTAGCATAGTTAAAAATAAAATGATCCCTTATTTAAAAAAATATATCTATCTAGTTAAAGAACAGATATATAAATTAAATATATAATATTTCTTTGAGATATTTCATTGAGTGAAGCCGAATTGAATTTAGAAAAGTGTATATGCTCATTTGCTTGGTCCCTACCTACTGCTTTTCCCTGGTTGCCTGATAGGATTTACAACCTGAAAGGATTGTTATGTATAGATGATCGACTCTATCCACCATATGTAGGACAGTGCTGAGATGGCATTCATTTCTGTCTTAATGTTATGTTTCAGGACAGATTTAAAAGTGAAAAAAAAATCAAGTCATAAAACAGTTTGTACACTATGACCCCTTTTGCCAAATGAAAGTAGGTGCATAATATACAGTAAGATATTAACTTTAAGAGGGGTAGACAACAGGTGATTTTTATTTTGTTTATTAAATGCTTGTTTTTATTTTCTAACTCTTAAATCCCAGCATAAGCCCAAAAAAAGAAAAAAGAAAAGTAATTATTACAGACCCTGAAAACAGAAATGTGTTTAAACCTTCAAAGCCGAAAAAGGAAGAAGTTTCAGAAGATTCTCTCTGCAAGATGAAGCTGCAAAATGGGCCTCAGCTCTGTCTCTGCAGGAGGAGCATTAGGAGAACCGCAGCGATTAGCACACAGAGGCTGCAGACTGTAGGTACCGCGATCTCCGTCGCCATCTGCATGTGACTCCGCAAAGGCTCTGAAACAGGAGTGAGAACACCAGCACAGAGGGGATCATTTTAGCGAGTATAGCTTCATCCTGAAAGCTTTAACTGTATTGGAAAAACTTGGAAAATGGCATCACACTTTCTGATTATTCTCATATGCTGTAAAAGAGAACCTAGTGAATTAAATGTTATAAAAAATTACATGAGGGCTATGGAAAATATTTCAGAAAATATGGGATAAAGAATGCCTAAATTGACTCAACCATTGGTACTGTAATAAAGTCTAAATGTATATTAATACTTGTACTTACCATAATTAATGTCAGAATATTAACAGCTATATTCCATGGTTTGTATAATTTTCACTGGGGGGATTGGTGAAAGAAAAATCCTTGGGAAACATTTCCAACCTTTCAAAGATGTTACTATGTATCTTAAGAGGGATAGGAGTTTCTATATTAAAATTTTGTATGATAATTCTTGCATAGTTAAGTAACAGTCTTGAAGAGTTAAAAGTTAAACATATATCATGGACATGAATATAGTAGTGGGCATTGATGTAATGATACCCGCTTTTAGGTCTTGTGCCTGGCACACTGGTTACCAAGATAAATAAGGCACAGGCCCTGCCTGCTCTCATGGAGTTCATAGGCTCAACAGTAAATTCTCTATCATGCCTCTATATAATAAAATAAAAATTTATTTTAATTTTATGGAATATACATTTTTAATATTACCTGGTTATTTAGATGGGGGCAAAGGGGTGGGCACAGTGGTATAAAAATAGCTGAATTGGTGGGACTTTGTTTAGCACTTTCCACCTCTGATACCACATTAAAGATGAGTTTGTTAAAACAGAAAGTACATTTCTCTGACAGAGAAATAAATACAAAATTTTTAAGAAAATGATATGTGTTGCCATGTGTTGATGTATATAGTTGTATCTTTGTTTCTGTATATCTCTTAGACTTTTAGGGCCCATTTCACAAGAAATGATGCCTTCTATGAGGTCAAGGACCTTGTTTTGTTCATTGCTATATCCCCAGAACTTAACACATCCTCTAGCTAATAGTGTTTAACAATGGCTTGCTGAGCGAGTGAACATAGTATCTGGAGTGTTCTTTGACGTTTCTTCATTCCATTTGGTATAATGGTTGAATTTTCCCCCTCCTTCCACAAAACCCACTATAACAAAATAGTAGATTTATAAGTTTACAGTATGATTCAGAAAGGATAAAACTATAGAGTGGATAAAATATTTCTTTTTCTGGTAGGTTTTTAAAAAATATTATTTAAAATGCTTATAAAATAGAAATTTGTCATTGCTTTAAAGTAAAGAAGAAATTCATTTTTTTTTTTTAAGATTTTTTTTTTTTTAATTGGGGAATTGGGGGGATGGGAACAGTGCTGGGGAATTGGGGAAAGGGGAACAGACAAGTTGCT